TCATTGTAAAACTGTATTATTATGATTGGTATCCTTGTAAATGTTGTTGATTTTGTTTTTGCAATTGGCCTATATCAAATGCTGCGGTCCTGTGCAGCATTCCTGCGGCCCTTGTGTACTGTATCGTTGTCAATCAATATTGTTTATTAAGAACCTTTCAGTGTTGAATGGAATTTTGTGTATTATATTCTCTTTTCATATTTGAACCCACAATGTTTACATTCCATTGCACAGTTTTAAGAAAGGAAAAAAAAACGTTTTCCCCTCTTTCCTTTGGTTAGGGAGCAATTGAAGAGGAAAAATAACAAGAGTACTGATTTATGCACAATTCTATTTCATAACAGGGAGGGACATACATCTTGCACATTTACACCATCGCATTTTACAGCAGTCATACTCACACCAAAACTGCCTTTGGAGGAAATGTTGATCTATTTATTAAAAAAACAATAAATTTGAATAAACCTTTCAATACAGAGTGAGAGAGAGAGAATTTGAAAACAACAATGATCTACGATTTCAAAGTTCCCAACTCCAGCACCTTTGTGTGACCAAAAACTTTACCACATGAGCACTGAAGCAGGCTGCTATACATCTACTCATAGCTGACTGAGTTATCACTGTTTCAAACAAAGAAGAAGAACAAAGGATATTCAGCTGCAGTCAGCCATCCATAGTTAAAGAATCTCCCACACAATAAGATTTAAGAAATACTAAAGAAAGCTAACATTTTCTAATGCAAACCTCCACATCAAATCAAGGCTGAGCATCTATTTACATCATGAAACCATGAGTGTTCCTCAAAACTAAAGTAATCAGTTATATGCCTCTAGCAGAAAGCACCTTGCTATAACAAGTTGACTTGATATTTCATTGGTAAAAGTTGACACACATACCATTCTTAATTAATGACATATGCATTGATATTGCAAACTGTAAAAGGATGTCAAGAACTGTAAATAATTTATTATCTGACCTTTGAGTGCCACAGTGTTCGATGATAAAACAAATAAATCAATGATGAAAATCACAGAAGGGCATTCCCAGACCTGTAGAACACCTGCTTAAATTAGATACGCTTTGAACCTAACC